TAGTTTATATGTTATTTTACGTTATTAAAAAAATATTTAACGTTACACACGCAAAACAAACTTAATTTTTAGAATCTAACCTCGTTTTGAGAAATATTATTTGTTCCACATCATACGGGATTTTACAGAAATCGTGTTGTGCTCTGCAGTGTAAATAAATACCTTTTAACTCCGAATGAGAATAACCGAAAAGTAATTCAAATTAATTAGTCGAGAAGAAAACAAAAATACATCAGACATAAGGCACAATTTGGACAAATAATTGTTCTGAAGCCTAAGAACATAAGGTAATATTAACATCTTTTATTAATCATGCCAATGTTGGTGATGATTAAAAAAATTATAATGAGTATAAATATGGCATAAGGAAGTATCTAAATTTGAGGAGCTATGTTTTATCAAATAAGCTTTAATCGGAACAGCGGTAAGTGGTGCCTTTCTGTATATGAATACTTCATTTTTTGTTTTTCAGTTACTTTATAATCTTTTTTAGGGTAGACGCAAAAATGAATATTTATTTTAATTTAGACTTTATCATTACGAATTTCTTATCATTCTTTATCAAACGAAGGCTGTTACTTTACCACATCGTAAAAACAACTGCTCGCAATTTGACTGAAAATAGCAGATGTTCATGACAGCATTTATAATGATTCCTCCACTCGTGCAGAGAAAATAGTTCGTTAACCAGTGGAAAAAAGTTCTTATCAGTGGAGGTTTCAGTAATAACGATTAAAGAAACTATTTTCACATCTGTCATAAGCCGCGGAAAAGAAACTGAAAGCTTATTAGTATTATAGCATTGTTAAATAATGCGGAATTCTCCCAGATCTGAAATTATCTTTATCTTATTCTGAAAATTGGTATATGCAGTTATATCTACTCGTACATCTTGTCCTAGTAGATAAAAACAAGAAGATATTCAGGAACGACAACAGAAACGTAGATAACAGTTCAACAATCTTGACTATTCAAGGATATTTATTTCTTATTATCGTTCTGGTATATTTTCTAATTTATGCTACATAGTAAATCAGGTTATTTCTTTTCAGGCAAATTTCTTGTTTGAATAACTTTTTCCCAGAGCTTTGCATTATTACGGATAAATCTTCGTGACATTTCTAGTCATGATTCTATATTAATCGAATTAATTTTGTCGTGATTTGATATTCATGTCATGATTCAATATCATGTCATGCTTCTATATTAATGTCATGATTCAATATCATGATTAATGACATTAATGTAATTATTCGATATTAATATCATGATTCTGGTCATGATTCGATATTAATTGAATTAATTATTGAATTAATTATGTAATGATTCCATATCATGATTCTTCTCATCATTCGATATTAATCAAATTAATTATTGAATCAATTATATAATGATTCCATATCATGATTCTTCTCATGATTCGATATTAAATGAGGTTCGTGAGCATATTAAACAAGCAGTCAGCGAACAACTAAACACTGACAAACCATGAGAGCCAAACCTAACGTACAAGGTGTATAACTTCAATGTTTTTTCAGTTTATACAATTTATATGAAGAAAGTGAAACAGTATAGGAGAAATTTCATTATCCGTCATTATTTTAAACGTCAGTTTCTTTTACCATTAATCACTGGAGTCAGTCCTATAAACAGAATGAATTCACGTTAAACAAGGAATACAAATAATTAATTACAATTTAAGAAAAAATGAAAGTCGGGTCATGTTGTTCAATAAAATGTGATTTGCTTTTATATTTCAGATAAAAGATCTTGGATCCTTTCTTGAAGAAGTACAGTTGTCTACTCCCAAAAAGTTTCTTCTTTTCATTCGAGTCTGTTGCTCTTCGAAAAAAGAATATATTCTTTCATATTTAATTTGTCTGCTATTAATTAATAAATTTAATTATTTAAAAGCAACAAAGGAATTCTTAAGAATATTATTATTTTTTAAACTTTTTATTATAATTGATTTAAATGTGTAAAAATGCATTTCATTCATGTTGTATCAAATCAAAAGCATTAAATATTTTTTATAGACTTTTATTACATATTTTTTCACTTTCATTTATACAAAAGATTAATATATAACTTTCCCATGTTAGTCTAAATGCATATTCATCTAATCCTATAAAATGTTTCGCTGTTCCACCTGACCCGTCTCTTATTGATAAGCCATATTAAACTTCAAAAGAGACCTTTCGGGCAATCGTTAAAGTCTGAACTCGCTCAGATTCTTTTTTTAATGAATAAATTCTTAGGGCAGTTGGTAAATTTTCATTTATTATTACACGAAACTTCATCTACACAATTAAAGATATTTGACATTTAACTGCTAGAGATTATTTTGGATTAATTTTAACTATTTTATTTTTACTATACAGGATGTACCGTAAATGTTGCGATAAACTTCTAGGGAAAGTAGGGCATATCATAAGGATTACGAATTGCATTGGAACCCATGCCCAGGTCAATTGCAAACCCATGTCAAGGGTAAGTGGTAGCAGAGGTAGAAGATGGGAAAAGAAACAAGATTAATTAATTTGAAACATTTATTGGACATGAATACGAATGGTGTACGACAGCTTGAATGTTACAACAGATGATCGAAGCTTGCACCATCAGACGCCAAACATGCCTGACACCGACGGACCATTGATTGCCGGACATGTTCAAACACACCGGGCGTTTCTTTGATTGTAGCAGCAGCGCAGGCGAGTCTTGCCACGAGATTCATTTCAGACACAACAGGATCGTGATACACGACACTTTTGATAGTTTCCCACAAAAAGAAATCAAGGCTCAATAAATCCAGTGAGCTTGGGGGGCCAGGGAATTAGCCCAATCCATCGATGCGGAAATGATCTGTTCAAATGGCTACGAACATCCAGTCCAAAATGAGTAGGGGTCCCATCATGTTGGAATCACATGTTGCGCCTCACATTTGGCGGAACATCGTCAAGCAAATCGAGAAGAACCTGCTCCAGAAAGATCAACTAATACGCGGCATTCAAATGGTGCGTAGGCGTCAGGCATGTTTGGTGTCTGATGATGTATCTGTTGTATCATTCAAGCTGTCGTACACCATTTGTACTCATGTCCAATAAATGTTTCAAATTAATCACTCTTGTTTCTTTTCCCATCTTCCACCTCTGCTACCACTTACCCCTGACATTTCCTATGCAATTCTTATATATATAATATAGATATATTCATATATATTTATATTATATATATAAGAATTGCATAGGATATAGGTTCCTATGCAATTCTTAATTCTTATGAACTGCCCTACCTGCCCTAGAAGTTTGTCGCAACATTTACTGTACACCCTGTATATCATAAGGTATGAAGCCAATTCGAACTTCTATTTTTGTATGCATTATGCAATGTATTCTTATACTAAAAGTGCATTTTTGCTATTAACTACCTATATCTGATTGTAACGGAAGTAATTCTAATATTTATCACAATGATTATCGAAGACTGACGGAAAATCGACCTTCCATTGTGTTTGTAAAAAAATTAAAGATATAGTATGCTGCGTATTTATTTACATAATAAAAACGTGAATAACTAAACGTATGCGACTAAAGTTAAATATCTTAGCTAATATAAATGTTAAGTTTCTTTTAACAGAATCCAAGTTGAATACAAATTTTGGATACAAATTGATAGAAATAATAATATTTTAAACAACTCCTACCTCATAACTACTAATTCACATTCTCAAAATACAATATCGCAGTATTTATTAGAATAATAAACTGAACTAAGTAAAATTAAAAACTAGTTAGGTTATTTTGGTATCTTACGATGGCCGCAACATTTACTAATGACTGTTCGCTGACGAACAGAGAATGTTATACAGACCAGCGATTCTCAACCGGTGGTACGTGTAACACTGGTGGTACGCAAGAGAAAAATAGGTGGTACGCAAAGAAACAAAGTATTTTTAACTACTAAATTCAAAAATCTCGTGAAGAAAAAGAAAATTGATAGAAAGTTTCTGCGATCGAACTCTAACTGAAGATTTAAAAAATAATTTAATAAATAATATAAAAAATCACTTGTTTGTTGACTTTTGACTGTACCGAAAAAGTGAATTTAAAGGCATTTCAAATAAAGCTATTAAATTTTTATTGCTTTTCGCTTAACCTATTTGTGTGAATAATGATTTTTTCCATGTTAAATTTTAAAAATAAATATAGAATAAAACTAAAAGTTGATCCTAGTTTATGGTTAAAACTAAATAAGACCAGACAAACAAGTTGATCTCTCTTAAACCACAGCCAATTTTAGAATTAAAGTATTATAACTTAAATCTTGATAGTTAAAATGATAACCAGTTTTTAATCTACGATTTTTCTTGTGTGCATATTTAATACAAATAGCCCATAGGCTGTGCAAATGGCAGAAAAAAAAATTAATATTTCTATTCAGAAACTGAAAAATAATCATTGTAAAATGTAGTTGGTTGTACTTAAAGTTTTTCAATTTTTGGTTAGGTGGCACGCATTAGTTAAAAAAAACCGTTGTATAGACTTCATTGTTTTACCTAAACACAGACCTAGTGAAGCCCTTATTGGCATCCTGCCAAAAATCTTGTGCGTGTTTTAGCGCTATTATGCAACAAAGCGCACTTTCGTAAGTTGTTTTTAAGTGTCATTGTTTTTCGAATAGTTAAAATTCAAATTATGCCACTCCCGAGAGGTATATTTTATCATTTTACGATCTCTTCTAGCTGCATTTTTATTCTACTATGACAACCGCAGACCGAAAAACAAAAAAAGAGTTACCAGTAAAGAAAAAGCCGAAGCAGTATAAATAAACCTCACATGAGCAGTTTTTGACTCAATTTCGAAATTTAATCGTTAACTGTTTCGTTTACTAGAAACTATAAACTTGATTTCATTGGTTGTTGAAGAGGAATTAAATTTGACTTTCAGAAAGAAGATGCATGGTTAATCAATGTCGTATTTCTCCGAATATTTATAGTTTACCTGTTGAATTCTTGCTTGTGCCTCGCATGTAGAAGTTGTCGTGGAGATCTCTCACACGCTCCGTAGAGTTTTCTTTAGTGCTGTACATGCAGCTCTTCAACTTGGATACGCAGACAACTGGAACAAAAGAAATAAAAGTTATTTGGGTGAATAAAATTAAAAAAGGAACTAAAGATAAAGTACTTCTGGTGATGATTAAATAACGATAGGAACCAAATTATACCACGCTTAAATTTAAGCTGCTTATGTAAAAGGCAGCCACAAGGCTTAAAGGCAACTTAATGCAGTTCTCCCTCCTTTCTGCATGCTTTCGGGTTGTAACGGTAGCACGCTCAGCGCGTATTCGAGAGGTCCAGGTTCGAGTCCCGGGCAGGACATTGCACATTTTTCAGCCCATTTCAATTAAAATAACCTAATGATTCTGCAGCGGCGTCTGAACTAAAAGGTGGTGGATGATGATTCTTCAACACCAACATTTGGCAATTGGGTCTCCTAATCCTCAGTTGCCCCTTGAAAAGAGGCGTATATAGGGCATTCTCTCCCCTTTTTCTGCATGCCTTCGTGGTGCAATGGTAACATACTCAACGCGTATTCGGGAGGTCCAGGTTCGAGTCTCCGCGAGGACATTGCTAATTTTTCATGTCTCCAGCATGAAAATAACCTAATGATTGTACACATTTACGTTTTATATGGAATACTTTTCGTGGGTGGGAATTGTACTCAATTATGTATTTCATCGAAGTTTGCTGCAAGATGAGCTGAGTAATGTTTAGGATTATCGCACTACGGTATGAACAAATTGCATAAAGTGCAAAGATTGGAAATCGGAGGATGTTTCATTTTAAGATTACTCAGAAAATCTTCCCATCTTCCATTGTAAACATCAAGCCAATAGTTAATATTTCTAATGTTAGTCTTTCAGAAGAACAAGAGAGAATTCTAAAATATAATTTTAACTTCTCACAAACCTGTAAACCCTCGATTCCAAAGATTTTGGCTCCTATCGAAAAAGCTTTCAAGTTCAGTAAAGTTTCAGATTCACAGAAAGAAATGATTAGGCATCTTATCGCTCATAATGTGAAATTCAATAATAAACCTTTGAAACCAAATCTAACTGCGAGAGAAAGAGCTACAATGCGCGAAATTCATTCTAACCCGGATATTATCATTTCAAAGGCCGACAAAGGTGGCCAGATAGTCGTCATGGATAAGAACACTTACATCGATGGTGTCACTAAACTCTTAAACGAAGGACCATATAATCCGATCCCTAAAGATCCTTCACCTTCGGACTTATCCAAAATAAAAACTGCGATCAAATCTTCGCAAATCATTTCAAGCAACTTAAAACATTCGCTTATCCCATCTGTTGCGAATTGTGCCAGATTATATGCTCTTCCCAAAATTCATAAAAGTGGTATTCCTTTCCGCCCTATTGTATCAAATTTAGGTACTGCCTCGTATCCATTAGCTAAATATTTAGTTTCTAGATTTTCCACTCTATTAGACAATAACATTTACACCATAAAAAATTCAATAGAGTTTGTAAAAAAGGTTAAAAACATTTCTCCTAGTAATTTACTCATGGTTTCTTTTGATGTAAAATCATTATTCACCAATGTCCCAGTGGAGGGTGCATTAAGATGTCTAGAAACCAGACTTCGCGAATTTCATTTCTCTTGCATCGAAATTGATGAGCTAATTTCTCTCACTCAACTCTGTTTGAAACAAACACATTTTGTTTTCCAAAATAAATATTACAAGCAAACTGAGGGATTAGCCATGGGAAGCCCCCTCAGTCCCATCCTGGCTGATATCTACATGCATTATTATGAATCAAAATTGTTTGAAACTTTAAACTTCCCGGCATGGTTCCGCTACGTAGACGATACTTTTACCCTGTTTGAAGGTAATAAAGATGATTTAAATAAAGATCTTTCAACAATGAATTCTATTGATCCTGCTATTCAGTTCACTTTTGAACTTGAGACTTGCAATTCTCTTCCGTTTCTCGACATTCTGGTCACACGTAACACATCCAACTTCAGTACTACAGTTTACCGTAAACCTTCATCGGTTTGCCTTCCACCACACTTTAAATCATGTCATCCGACTAAACAAAAGTTAGCTTCATTTTATTCCTATGTTTTCCGTGCTCTTCAAGTTTGCTCCTCCAAACTAGCCCTTGATGAAGAACTAAATTATTTAAAAGCAATAGCTATTGACAGGGGCTTTTCACCCAACATTATTAATCAAGCAGTTAAAAAATTCTCATCTCAACACACTAAAAGCCACACTCTTATTTTAGGAGATTATAAAAATTCTGTTGTCATTCCCTTCTTTCCATCAATTAGCTATAAAGTTGCACATATTTTGCAGAAATTTAACTTTCGGGTTGTTTATTCTCCCATCAATAAAATTCCAACTTCTATACTCAAGGACCCCATTCCGGATATGAATTCCTGGGGTATTTATAGGATTCCTTGCCAGTGTGGTTTAATTTACATTGGCCAAACTAAGAGAGCCTTAAAATTTCGCGTCAAAGAACATGAGGCATATGTTAGAAAAAAGGAAACACAGAAGTCTTCTGTTGCTCAACATTGTTGGTCCGAAAATCACACTTTCAATTTTTCTGCTGCCAAAATTATTCAAAAAACATCTTCCATTGGAGAACTGGATTTTCTAGAGGCATTTCACATTCATAAAAATCTTTCTGTTCTAGTTAACGATCCTAATTCCAATCCAAATTTGCCTTCGGCTTTTAGAGAAATTATGTTTTAGTTCTGGTTTCGCCAACAGATGGCGCCACTTGCTTATTCTTGTCCAGGCTTTCTTATCTTATCTAATCATTATTTCCTATCTTGTTCATTTGCGGTTTTGCAGCTGAAGATGATGGTTCGGTAAAACCATCGAAACTAGTCCTGTGAAAATTTTGTAATATAACGCTGATTTTTGTTGTTGATCGATTAAGATTTATACTCTCTTAATATACTACAAAAAAAAAACTGGTACATTTGATTAAAATGGGGAGGCTCTTCAAACTTCAACCCTTTTACCAATTTATAAGCATATTTTATTTCTCGTACTTTCAAGTGCGCTGTGGTGAAGTAATATCTTCAAAAAAAGTGATTTACAGTGGAGTAGCTCAAGGCAGTGTTTTAGGATCGAAGCTTTTTACAATATTCATAAATGATATGCCTCTACCTTTTCATTCTAATATACTCAAATATGCCGACGACACAGTCATCCTCACCAGTTCACGAAGTCCAAATAATGCTTTAGAGAATCTTCAGCTCCAAGTCAACATTATTAAGAAATTTTGTCAAGACTGGAAAATCAAACTAAATACTGATAAATGCTGCGTAGTTCTCTTCCGCAGATACAGGAAAAATATCCCAGTGAATATAAATATCCGACTCAATAACCAAGATATTCCTGTTGCCAACTCCTATAAATACTTAGGTGTCTATATTGACAAAACCCTAAATTTCAAAGATCATATTCAATATGTTACAAATAAGGCTAACGCTGCTTTCGTTGCTCTCTACTCATTAACTGGAAGAACTCTAAGTTAAACTTCCGTACCAAGAAAAATATCTACATCTCACTTATTCGCCCCAATAATCCTCTATGCAGTTCCAGCCTGGGCTACTGCCCGAAAAAATAGACAGACAAAAATTAAATGTTCTTCAAAACAGAATCTTACGTAGCATAGTGAACGCACCCTTGGTTCGTGCGAACATTCTCAAATTCACAAAGACCTGGATATCAACCCAATTCACGACCAAATATCCTAATTTCTGCACACAACTTCTTTGAAGATATGAGAAATTCTCCCTATGAAGGAAGCTATTAAATCGCTTACAGACTACGACCCTATTATTGAGCACGTAGTGAAAAGACCTCGAACGATCCACCACAATTCTAAGTGGTGGTAGCGTTTATATAGTAAAATTATATATATATATATATATATTGCAGTAAGCTCGCCTAAAAGTTACCAAGAGCTGCTGCTCCAAAAGGTTCAACACGTTTTAAAAAAATTAATACATATGAAAATCAAACCATAAGACATGTAAAACATTAAAAAACAGAAATAGGTAAAAAGTAAGCGGAAAATGGTAAATTAGCCCAATTCGACTTCCAAACTGGCTTTTCAAGGGAAATTTCATTTATTTGAACGTATTTGAACATAATTCATTTCATATATTTACCATTTTCCGCTTACTTTTTATCTGTTTCTGTTTTTTAATGTTTTACATGTCTAATGGTTTGATTTTCATATGTATTAATTTTTTTAAAACGTGTTGAACCTTTAGGAGCAGCAGCTCTTGGTAACTTTTAGGCGAGCTTACTACAATTTTTATATTTTACTTATTTTGCAGCATATTGCGCAAGATGTTTTCTAGACCAAAATTGGTTTTTTTAAAAATTATAATTACTACTTTGCTTGATATATATATATATATATATATATATTACTACATTCATGTCCATAAATTAAGGATAATTTGGAATCACGCCGAAATCGAACTCTAAAATAAATATATCACCTGTAAAATCACTACACACATCTTCAAGAATAATATGGAAATTTCAGGAAGTAATCAGATGACACCGATGGTACGTCACAATGACGAGAGTGTAAGAAAGTGATATATAAGGAATACAGGCAAAGAAGTAAAACTGTTCGCAGGCGCTTTATAAGCATTTCAGTGCAATAATCGAATAGTTATGACACAAAGGACGCATTTGGATGATTTTTTACTTGGTAGAATTATCGGCCGTCTGGAATGTGAGCGTACCCAACTGGAAGTATCAGACGAACTTGGAATTGCCCAGAGTGTCATCTCCAGGCTTTGGCAACGATTCCAACATGATGGTAATGTGAGTAGACGTTACAGCACAGGTCGCCCCAGAGTTACAACGCCGAATGAGGACCGGTATTTGGCAGTTACTGCCAAAAGAAACAGGCGGAGCACAACCTCAGACCTGTCTCGTCAGCTCTCTTCAGCCACTGGTACGACAATTTCAAGGCAGACCGTGTACAGACACTTAGGGCAGATTGATCTATATGCTCGTAGACCTGTCAGATGCGTTCTACTTACTGTAACTCA